AAGCAGTACAAATAAAATATAGGTCCGAGATTTCTGATTAAATTTGTTGAAGAATAACCCATTCTTTCATAATATGGATTAAATACTGAGTCATCAAGCATATCTTATTCGTAATCAAATATAAGTTCATTGATTTTTTCCATGTCAAAGAATTAAAAACTAGAAATATCTAGTATGAAACTATAGAAAAAAGCTATATTTGCGGGAGTATTAATGGCCATCAGCGGTAAGTGAGTTATTAATTAAAAGCTATTTATCATTCCCCATAGCATTTAGATACTCTATGACCTAAATAATTAATCAGTTATGATTACATAAGGATATTAATGAAAAAGTTAGATCCCATAAAACTCGATAATGTTAAAAAGGTTGCTTATCCAAGTATACTCAATACTTCTTTTAAACTTTAGCTAATCTAAGGAGGTATGTATCTCTATATCGAGTATCCTTCTTTAATCAATAGTTTTTCAGTCTAATCGTAAAACAGAAAGTTATATTTAAAGCTAATAATTAGTCAATCCCATACCTATAATTTGTTTAAACTTTACAGTTGTTAAAATTACTGAATAGTTTGATATGGCTTTAGGATTAGTGAAATTCATCTAAATAATAAGCCTTCTTTAATTTATTTCAAGAATTTTAAAATTTTATTCTATCTCTTATTAATTTTACTCAATCTTGATTTTAATAGCATTTTTCACCTTATTTTTGTCATTTTAAAGAATATCATTAAGTATTTAATCAAATAGCACAACAACTTCTCCTGTGTTTGAAATTGTTTTAATTCTTGCTTGAATATTTCCAACAATAAAAAACTCTTTAGATTTTTTGTAATCATTAAGTAATTGTAATCCACTTAATTAAGATTCATATCATGATAGTACCTCTTCTGCTTTAACGATTATCTAAAATTATTATTAACTTTTAAAACTATGTTTATTGTTGTCTTATATAACTATTATTACTTGGTGTTTCCCTACTACTTGTTTAATAGGATTTATGATAAGTTTTGTATTTGTTGCCTTAAGAAATAAATTAACTTTATTTGTTTAAATAAACACTTTGTAATCGTCTCCTTCAGAATCAATAATTTGTGGAAGATCAAAAATATACTATTCTCCAACTTTAACTTCAATATTTTGAACAGGATATAAAAAGTATGGTGCACTATTATTTACCGTAAATTGATCTGTTTCACTGTATACTTCAAATTTGAAAAAATGAGCTTATAATATAGGAGGTGTAAATGGTATTATATCAGCAGTAATATTAATCCAAAACTAGAATTCATAATTTCCAATAATTTATAAGGTTTTAGCAAATATTCCCACTTAAAAATTCTTTTATTAATCTTAGATAACTATAGATGCCAAATTATAAGGTTATTTTCTAAGGTCAAGTGATAGATTTTGATGAAAGCAATCTTGATTTGGTTCTAAGGTTAGTTTAGGAATGGGATAATATTAAACATCGTCAGATATTTTATGCCTAAACGTAACATTTCTTGTATCATTTATTATCTTAAAATCATTTTAGCAAGGATTTTAAATATTCAAAATGAATTTATCTTATGAAATAATCCATCTGGTAGATAGATTTAAAGTTTCTGATATCTGATAAGTGACGTTAACGAGATAAAATCCTATTAGGTCTATGCTTTAAAATTTTCTAGATATTTTTGCTACTAGTGTACTAGACATTGATGAATTGAAAAAATTCAAAGACGCTAGTTTATCTGAATCATTGGTATTGATTTCGATGAAATATCCTCTTTATTAGCCAAGTTCGTCCTAGCATTAGTTAGAAAGGGTAAATTTTGAGTAATAAATTTAACATTCCAGTCCTAGGTAGCAATCAATTAATTAAGTTTAACTGTTGGAATTTTAATCTTGATGAGGATTTAGCTTTGAGACATATTTTAAAGTAGTATCAATGTTATTTTAATTTTTCAAAAGATTCAGTTAATACAAGTGATCTGCATCTATTAAAGCTGGTTTTATGCTCCATTAGTAATTTTATTGGCTCTTACCTCCCAAAAGATATTAAGGGTAAGGATTATATATAGCGTTATAGGTAATATTTTTCTCTTGTGATTCTTAGGAAATAATATTGCTATAGGTTTTTTATTGAGAATATGAAGACATATAAGCCCTTAATGATCCAGAATAGTCAATAAATCCCAGATAAAACAAATCAAAAAGGTTGTAGTCATACTTAAATTATCTTGTATTTATATTCTTCTATGAATAACTTTGAAGATATTCACGCACAAGTGAGGTAGAAATATCACTAACTAGAGGATCCCAGCCTATTTTAATCGTGAATATTGAGGATTCTATATTGTTCGATGCAGTGTAGACTAGCCAAATATCATCTTTACCTCTTAATATATTACCTATGCACTCAAATTTCTGATGAGTATAAGAATCGCTTACATCTCTATATAATGCTAAATTCTTTTTCGTTGATAAATCGTAGATTAAAAGCCCCATCAATCTTTCACTAGAGTTACTAGCCTCTAAGCATCCAATAACTGAAGAGTTTCATTAAGCTATCTGTGGAATAATGATTTGATATTTTACGAGAACATCAGCATTTAAAATGTAACTAGCTATTTTTGTATCTGGTTCATTGAATTGAGAAACGAAAAGACTGTACTAGTCATCTTAAGTGAATAAAATACCCATCAGTATAAATATTTGTGAGGACTAGTGAAAATAAACTGCATTCACTACCATTCCAAAAGTAGAAAGGTAGAAATATTTGACTATTTCTGATAAATCCTTAGAGAATATTAAGATATTACCACTTTCGTTTACATCTGAGATACAAAAAAATATTTCTCCAGTTGATTATTTGATACCTAAGATATGAGGCATAGCTTTTGGTAGAATAAAATATTATGGCACAATTGCTGTTGATAGTATTTATCCATACAGGTCTTATCTTATCAGCAAATAATCTCTTTTAGATAAATGTTCACTATTACTATATTATATAGATCTTGCAATAGAGATTATATGCGTTTAACTTTAGAATTCGATCGCTTCAATATTATCTAATTAAACTGTGTTTACTTTATCTGCATAGTTGTATGATTTAAGCCACATAAATCTATTCATATTTCCTCTGTTGTTGTATAATCCCAGCATTATATCAGTTCAATATTTTCCAGCTACAGCAAAGTAATTTAAATCTTCATCATAATTGAAGACTGTAAATTATGAGTCAACTTATTCTTCATAACTTAACTCTATAGGTAATTACTTTGTGTCAAAGCATTAGGGTAAAGTAAAAACTCTTTATAAAAATACAGTGCTCGCTATTATTAGTCTAAAACTCATTTTAATTATATTAGTTAATATTAAGTAATTATTTTAGATGCGATTTTATTATCTTAGCTTTATGGGGTTTTGGGGTTTTGGGGTTTTGGGG